TTGAGTTAGATATTTTTGCATATAAGCTTCAAAATATTAAAAATTGCCGCGAGATATTGTTCTTTCAAATAAAGTGCTAATAAAAATTTTCTTCACATTTGTATGTGATAAAAATAATGTATTAAAAAAATTACAGGAGCATGTAACTTACATTTTATTTCTTTTCTGTAAATATCGTCCTCCTCTTTTTTCTCTTGTTGTTTTGTTTCTCTTCCTCTTCCTCTTCCTCTATCTCATCCTCTGCTTCATCCTCTATTTCTATTTCTTCCACTCTTTCCGCTATTTAATTATTTTAATAAATTACTTCTATATATTTCTTTCTCTACATCCATGTCTTCTTGTTTCCGTTTTTGCATCTCCTTTTCTTTCTCCTCTGTTCAAGATCGATAATCAATGTAATAAAAAAAAATAGCCGTAATAACGAAGGAAAATTCAACCAGTTAAATTGTTATCCCAACCGTACCCGCACTCAGTTTTTTCTCCATTCAAAGGGGGGCCAAAACAACAAACAACCTAATAAACAAGCAGTGACAGTTACTAATTTCAACAACATCCGCACACATGAACGCAAGCGTCACACAAATCTTAATCAATACTCGATGGCAATTTTCTCGCACACATGATTCACACCACCAATTACCAATCAAAGACATTTTGCAAGGGTCATCTTGGGAATCAAAATCCTTGCGATCTCATTGGCGAATTTCAAAGGAACTCCGGATTTTTAAGCTATAAAAACCGCTCCGCACCACGACAGTCAGTCGCTTTCTTCAAATTTAGTGCAATTGCAAGTTTGTGCGCCGCAGTTACTCCGCTGAAATTTCGCAAATTCGCAGACATTACGTCTCGCAGAAACTAATACCGCAATATCGCAGTTTAAGTTTGTGAACCGAACCAATCTGTTAAAATACTGTACTCTCTTTTTTTTTACATTTATTTGCCTCCATGAGGACAGGTACATGCCTTAACTTAGATAAATAAAGAACTTAGTTGTAGTAAAATCACGTCGTTTCTTTAATTGCTCTTCCGTGCACCTCACTGCCTCAACGACCAATTTTGACGCGCTCCCGAACATCCTCCTTCTTGTTAATTTTCTTGTACTCTTCTCTACGTCCTGACCTTTGAATAGTCATAAATTTTATTTATATATATGTATGTGTCTTAATATAATCTTATTATATTATATTATTTTATTCGAGATAACACGCCTTATAATGTCTAAAAGTAAAAATATTGTCTAAAACTTTTTACTTTCTTTTATATGACACTCGATTCCCTAATCGGAAATCGACTTGGCCAGCAACAACATTAATTTCATTTACTAGCAACAGTTTATGTACACAGTTTATATACACAAAGTCAGTATGAGATTTTAAGAAATCAAGGTTTACTAAGAAATATATTCTTTCACGTATATTGTTTGGGATATTATAATAATAAAAAAAAGTATGAAAATAATTGATGTACAAAGCTCTAGTGATTAACAAAATCAAATAAAATTAAATAGAAGCGTAAAGCCACAATGCAGATTATTCGTGCAAAGGTTACAGTATATTTGTTTAAAATTATTTACATTTACATTTGACAAACGTTTCTGCCTGACATCAGGCCTTCTTCAGTTCTTTAATTTCAGTCTTCTTTAATTTTATTTGATTTTGATAATCACTAGAGCCTTGTACACCAATTATTTTAATTTACGCAAGCAATATGATGCGTTTTTTCCTTCATTTTTTGAATTTATTAGATTCATTTATGTACTGAACAACACTTTCGTTAAAATGGATTGTGAAAATTTCCTCTACATTATATTGTCTTTTTAATCAACGTGTTGCGATTCTTTCGTTTCTTATTATTCTTATACACTGAAGATGGCTTGATGTCAGGCAGAAACGTTTGTTAAATGTAAATGTAAATAATTTTAAACGAATATACTGTAACCTTCGCACGAATAATCTGCATTGTGGCTCTTTATGCTCTTATTTAATTTTATTTAAAAAAAGTATGTTTTTACATTACTTACATTTTTACCGCACGCTTTATTACGGAGCACGACGTGATACTCGAACAGTAGCGGACTATTGACTACTGATTGCCATTGTTTGTCAACCGTCGACAGTTGACGACAGCGGGGGGACGCTGCCCAAAAGAAAAGTTGATAGAAGGGCACGCATGCAAGCGAAATTCGTATCCGTGGCTGCGTTTCGCTTTTCGCATAATGCAGATAGAAATGCTGAAAATCTATAATATACCAATATACGTCACGTTAATTTTTAAATAGTTTAAATAATTTATTATTATTTAGTTTAAATAAAATATAATATACATATATATACATAAATATATAATATACATAAATATACTGCGACGTGAACTAGCCTCGGAATCACGCCAGATCCGAGGGAGCACGCCCAATGGAAATCGGTAACCGCGGTACTCCACGATCTTCGGGAGTTAGGTAACTTACGCGGCGTCGGCAGTAAATACACGACTTGGTAACTCGCGGTATCGGCAATAAATGCTCGATTCGGTAACTCACGGTATCGGAATTAGATGCTTGATTCGGTAACTCGCGGTACTCCACGCTCGTCGGGAGCAAGGTAACTTGCGAAATCGGCAATAACTGCACGATTCGGTAACTTGCGGTACTCCACGCTCGTCGAGAGCAAGGTAACTCGCGAAATCGGCAATAACTGCACGATTCGGTAACTCGCAGAAAATTCGGTACTCCAGAAAATTTGGGAGCAAGGTAACTCACGCGATATCGGTAACCGGAAATGGGCGCCAGGTGCGAGTAATCGCACCGCGGTATCGGTAACTTCAACAGTTCTCTAAAAGGCCGCTCCCCGCTCAGTATACGGCAGAGGGGCGCAGTTCTTTTATTTGACGTTAGATATCTGGAGTGAGAGGCGAACACAAGGACAACTCAATCATTAATATTTAACAATAATGTATTTCCATGATTCGGTTACAAAGGTTGTAACGATGCAGCATGCATCGTCACGGCTACGGACCGAACATCGTCCGTAGCCAAAAAGGGCGCATCGCGCGCCGATAAACTTTTCGTATAAACACCGACGGTCAATCGCCGGACGGCCCCCCACACCCGACCGTTTTCGAAATTTACCAGGTGGGGGTCCGCCGGCTAAACCGCCGATGCTTGCCGATCCTTCGCCAGTCGGGCGGCAGCCGGGTATAAAAGAGGCCCGGCTGTACGCTTTTCCACCAGATCCCGTTCACTGCTCGCCAGTGAACGTCCTGTTGCGAGAGCACTCGTAATCCTTCGAGAATACTCGAAGTCTATGTCCAGCAGCCTCACGAGCACGAGCATACTCGTGCACCAACCGAGCATACTCGGCCTCAGGAACCGCTTCCACGTTACGGGCACACCCGTATCCTCGCCGAGCATACTCGGCTCTAGACCACGATACGAGAATTCTCGTATTCCTGCCGAGCATACTCGGCCGCCAGGAACCGTCCTCCGTTCCGTCGTGCGAGCATACTCGTTACCTCGCATACGAGCGCACTCGTATTATAACCGAGCATACTCGGTCTCGTTACCTAAATACGAGCACACTCGTATATTACCGAGCGCACTCGGCTTCATTCTTACATACGGGCCTACCCGTATACCACCGGGAATACTCGGCTCCACGTTAAAACACCAGCCATTTCGAGACGCGGGCAATACGCGCGTCTTCGCTCCCGTCTTCATCCCCTTAAAATCGGTCCTCAAATCCGGCAGGCAATCGCGAATTAATCGAATCAACAGCGAACATCGAAATCACCACGCACGCGCCCGAGCATATCGATCAGTCGATCGACCATCGACGCCGCTCGAACGTATCGATCCACGCGCTCGCAGTCGCCTAGAGACAATTGCGGCACCCGCGCTTGCGCCGACACTTCGCTCATCACCG